GGTGGAAGATAATCTTCCTTTTGACATTCTTTTAGGTATGGATTGGGGTGAAGCTGCAAATGCGGACATAAAGATGCGGGACCATGAGTGTTGGTTTCCTAGTCCGCAAGGTGGAAAGAAGAGGATCCGCCTATTCCATGAATCGGGTAAGGAAAGCAACTTAGCTCATTGTTGTATGAGTGCCCCCGTGTTCCCTCGCCATGTTAAAAAGTATAACTTGTATGATCAAGTTTTCGTTGCATATGTGCGCCCAGTGAAAGAGGGTGAAGTTAAAGAAGAGGCAAAATCTCCTGAAATTGAAAAGATTTTGAAAGAGTTCGCAGACGTGGCAGAGACCCCAAGCGGTGTGGTAGAACGAGAGCACGTTAACCGAACACCCATTTTTCAGGCCCATTTACGACAATCCTATCAAAATGCATATATAGCAAAAACTTGAAATTCCAAAAAAACATGAAATTTGAGCCCAAAACCCTAATTTCATAAATTTCAAGCCTGAAAACCAGATGCCCCGTTAACCTCTTATGGGTAGAACGACCAATCAAACATCGCATCGAAATCATACCAATATATATATACATATATATATATTAATGATATAACGGTCAAAAATGCCGAGCCATTACCAAGAATAGACGATTTGTTGGATCGAGTGCAAGGTAGGAAGTACTTCACTAAGATTGATCTAAAGTCTGGCTATCATCAGATTGAGGTAGAGCCAGAAGACGAATACAAGACTGCCCTTCGAACAAGGTATGGGCATTATGAGTTTGTGGTGTTGCCTTTTGGTCTTATGAATGCACCTGCAACTTTCCAAAGAACAATGAATGAGCTTTTCCGCGAATGGCTTGATAAATTTGTGGTTATATATCTCGATGATATTCTGATTTTTAGTAAGGATTTAAAAGAACATTGCGAGCACCTTCGACTTGTGCTAAATAAATTGCGTGAAGAAAAATTGAAGTTAAACCTGAAGAAGTGTGATTGGGCTAAGCGTCAGGTTTTGTATTTAGGGCATGTGCTTGATGGTGATGGTATCAAACCAGAAGATTCAAAAATTGCAGCCATTAGAGATTGGCCAAACCCCCGCACTTTGACTGAGTTGCGGTCGTTCCTTGGGCTAGCCAACTATTATCGGAAGTTCGTCAAACACTTCATGATAATTGTTGCGCCCCTTCGCAGATTGCTTAAGAAAGAAACCATCTGGAAGTGGGATTTAGACTGCACGGCTTCGTTTAAACGCCTAAAGAAATGTCTAATTAACTACCCGGTTCTGAAGGTCGTTGATCCTTCTTTGCCCTTTGTTGTCACAATCGACGCCAGTCAGTATGGGATAGGTGTTGTACTCCAACAGGATGATGGGAATGGGTACATACCTGTTGAGTTTATGTCTCGACGATTGCCTAATGAGAAGGTCGCCGCTTCCACGTACGAGAGAGAGTTGTATGCTCTCAGAGAAACTCTTGATCTTGGCGACACTATCTCCTAGGAAGGCACTTCAAAGTGTACTCAGATCATAAGACACTTCGCTGGCTCAAAACACAAGTACGAATGACACCTAAGTTGACTAGGTGGGCCACCGAAATCGATCAATATGACTTTGAGTTAAAGCCAGTTAACGTACAACGTTGTTGCTGACGCGTTAAGTCGAAGATCTGATTTTTTCGGTGTCGTTGTAACATACTTAGATATGGGCACCGACTTGCAAAATAAAATTAGGAATGCGTATTCCACAGATCCTGTCAATGGCGTTATGATCCAACGTCTGCAAGAAGCGCCACAAGAGTTTCCTAACTATCGAGTTACACAAGGACTGTTGTTTGAACAAACAAATGTGCATGACAGGCTTTGCATTCCAAATGTGGAAGAGATCAAAAGTTTGATCTTGGGGGAATGCCATGATACTGAAGGCCATTTCGGCTGGAAGAAGACTTATGCAGGCTTGTTGCGTTCCTACACATGGCCTCGCATGAAAGCCGATTGCATTGCCTATGTGCAAGGTTGTCAAGTGTGCCAAAGGAACAAAAGCACTACTCAACCTCCCCTTGGATTACTAAAGCCTTTGCCAATTCCAACAGGTCTAGGAGACTCTGTATCCATTGATTTTATGGATACCAAAGTGAAAAGCAGGAATGGAAAGACGCAAGTCATGGTCATCGTTGACAAATTTAGTAAGTATGCTATGTTTGTAGCATTACCAGCGGAAGCTAAGACTGAATTAGTAATCCGGGAATTCTTTAACCATTGGGTAAAGGATTATGGACATCCCTTAACGATTGTGAGTGACAGAGATTCACGTTTCACGAGTGAACAATGGCAACAACTCATGAATGTCTATGGCTCTAAGTTGACTATGTCATTAGGTAGACACCCTGAGACCAACGACCAGACTGAGCAAATGAATAAGGTTTTGCAGCAAACATTGCGCATGTACATACGTCCCGACCAGATTGACTGGGATGAACATTTGCCCAAAGTTGCTAGTGCCTATAACAACTTTGTTCACCTATCTACATGCAAGAGTCCAATGGAATTGCATTTGGGATGGCGACCACGTAGACCCATTGATCGCTTAAATCCGGATCAAGTACATAAGCTTCCTCTAGGGACAAGTGAGTTTGCAATACAGTATTAACGAGATATTGAAAAGGTAAAAGAAAATATAGTGAAGGCACAACACCAAATGGTGGAACAGGCAAATAAGCATAGAAGACCTTCTCAATTCGCTATAGGTGATTTGGTGTGGGTTAAGTCCAAGGAGTTTGCTCATGAGGAGAACATTTCTCAGAAGTTACTACCCGCCTACAGAGGACCTTGGCAAATTCTTGATGTGATTGGAGAGGTAGATGGACCTTCTTATGTACTCGAGATTCCTCTACATTTGCATATGTATCCGGTGTTTCACGCCTCAAAGTTTCTACCTTGCGTGACAAGTCGCAGATCGGCGATACCTCCTAGTATGGATGGGAAATATGACGTGGATAAGATTGTTGTTGAAAGCACTTTCCAAACCGGACGAAGAGGCAGACCCCAACGACAATATAAAGTAAGGTTCGCCTATCAAGACCCAAGTGAAGATCGCTGGTTTACAAGAGAAAATTTACTTGAGTCTGCACCTCACATTGTATCTGCGTATGAAAGAGTTAAAAGAGGAATAAATGTTATTGATAGATGAAGATTTTCTCAGAGGACTTCGAATCTAGTCCGGTGAGGGTAAAAGGGCCTTTACCCGATGCAGCCCCTGATCGACGAAAGCAGCATATTGGGGTCCCTCGCCCAGAGCCCAATTCGTGAAAGCAGATCAAAAGACATGTTCTCTGGGTCAAAGGTCACATTCTAACTAAAGCAAAAGACATTGTCAAAGGTTACTGTTGTGCCCCTGGACGAACAGTTGCCATATTTAAATGTTTGGGTCACATCTGTTCATCCAGGGGGTGTGCAAGTCATGTCTATTCATGCAGGGATGTGTCTATACGTACAGTCAATGTGTCTGTTCGTGCAACAAAAGTGTCTGTTCATACAAAAGATGTGTCTGTCCAAAAAGAAGTCAAAGAGTTAAGTCTCAGTCCAGATTCGAGTCAAAGGGAAAGTCTAGATACAGATAGGCAGTCCGAAATTGAGGCCTACAGGCYGCAGCAGCAGCAACCCTTGAAGGAAGAGAGTCTGGGACACATTCCACAGAGGCTGGGACTGGGAGAGGACCCAAGACAGACAGAATAAAGGCCTCGTTTGGGGAGGCCAGCACTATAAGAAACGAGACTGCCTCCCCACAAGGAAGATTCCCATATGCATTGATGCGTGGAAGTGCTGAGGCCCTTGTGCGCTATAGTGCTGGGAGAGGCGCTGGCTGAAGAAGAGCTGTGCCAGGAAGAAGGGAGGCTGGGCGCTGGCTACAGGGAAGCCATAGCTCGCCAGCCTATGTTAGTAAGTAGCATATCAGTGAGTGACATTCAAAGTAGATCTTCGTAGGTGAGAGTGTGCATGCATAGTGAGGTGAGAGAACCAAGACATAGTTCTAGAGAGAGGGAAGAGATCAAGAGAGAGAGAAGACAGGAAGTGAGTCTGGATATGGTGGACACTTACCTGTTGGCGCCACATCTGTAATCTGAAGGAGGATGCTGTCTGAGCCAGATCCCATGCTGTTGTATGACGAGGGAGACTACCTCTTGTTGGCACTAAACTCTGGAACTCATGATACTCTTTGTATTAAGTGACATTGATACTCAACCTGGTTTTGTGTGAAGCCATTTTGTACGTGTGATGACATGTATGCATGCGGAGGGATGCTCTCAAGCAAGCTGTGAACATTCAGGTTCCTTGCATATGGGCCTATGGGCCTCAAGGCCCCTCAACCGTTGGTAGACCAGCTGTAGGGGGCCAGCCCTAGGCCCCTGGATCCTAGCCGCACCATTCCATCGGGACCAGCCCTTTTGAGGCCCCTAGACACAAGACAGACCAGCCATAGGGCACCAGTCCTAAGAAACAAACCCTGGGCCCCTTGTCCACAGCAGCTGAAGGGAACCAGCCGTTGGCGCTTAGACCCTAGCCAAGACCACCCTGGACCTAAAGGGCCATTCCTAGGAAGCGAACCCCAGGACTAGCCCTTGGGCCAAAACGTCCAGAAGGTCTAGAATCAGTTGTGATTGCAGCGGAGGGGCCTGCATGCCTGGGGCCTGAGGGAGGACAAACCAGTGTTTGAGCTTCTGGTTTGTAGTTTGGTTGGTTTGAGAGTACATTAAGGATCTTTAGGAACGCATGTGATGCCCCAAGGGTCCTGGACTGCTGCCATAAGGATGTGTCTCTGATGATGTTGCTTGCTGCATAGGCAGGTGCTTTTCGTTATAGACACTAGATTTGAACTACTAACCTGTTGACCGATAGTGGCCGTTTGTCATGCATCCACAAGGTTGCGGTGGACCAAGTGTTATCAACTTAATGTTTTGGTTTTCTATTGTTTTCCTTGGCAGTTCATCTTATCTTGTTCGTCTTTTCTTGTTTTGCAGTTCTCTAGAGAATCACAGCGGGAGCCACCTCAGTACTTCCTGAAGAAATGGTCAGATCAGGAAATAGTCCAAATAACGAATTTCCCCCATCCCTACCCGGAGGTAATGCCCACTTACTCGCTTGCCCTCATACTTGCTTGCTTAGTCCCTTGAGCACAGGGAGTGTGTTGTACCTGAGCTCCCCCAACACTCGACCTGAGACCCAATTACCTTTTCTTCCTCATCTCCCTCAGCACCTCCCCTCCCCGAGAAAAAAAGAAAAATCTATATCTTATAGCCAAGGCTCTATTGAATTCCCGGAGTGATATTCCAGTTCATTTTCTCATTGGCAAGGCACGCTAGATGACATTAGCGGATCACCTAGTCACCTTGTTGCATTGCCACATCTCGTTTCTATGTCAAAGGTTAAAAGTTCTGGAGAACTTTAGACCTCCAAACTATTCATTTGGAGGCTTGGATGAACCTTGCAAGCCATGCTTTGCACATCCACCTAAGTCCTAACTGAGGAGAGAGCACAGAGAGAATTGATGCAGCGTCAGAGCCTGACACAGCTGTGCAGAATCCTGCACTGACACTGCTAAGGTGAAAAAAACAAAAAGCTGAATGAGATGGTCTTTAGGTGTAGGTGGTTGCAGGTCTACTTGATGAGACAACAGCCGCCAAGATGTAGCCAACCCCCACAGAAATGAGAATGGTAAAAAAAATATGGTTGGTGCAATTTGTCTCAATGAGGGCATAACCAGTTTCTGTCTGACTTTTGTTTGTTTAGGTGTGTGATGTGCTCCCTTCAATTTGACTCCAGTTTGTCAAACCATGGTCATCTTTGCTCTCTGAAAAAAGAAGTCCAGGTGTTGAATCTGTTGATGGATTGCACATTTGTCTTGTCCGTGATGTTGCTAACGTCATGTCAGAAGCTGAGTAATGGACTCCCCACATGTTGATTGAAATTGATATCAGAGGGAGAAGCGTAGGTGTGGACTCTGTTGATTGATCTCACATTTGTTTCACCGTCAATGTTCAGACTATGGCCTCAGAGTTTCAGTGTTATCCCGTACGTTTCGGAGGCTCAGGGCTACTGGTCCAGAACGGCTGGCGCTAAGAAAAAGGGCGCCTGTGCCGGTTCAATTCTTTTTGGCACGCAGTGCTTAGGAGTGGTGTAAAAAACAGCCTCAGACGTAGGGGTGGTTTAAACATTTGTAGCCTAACAAGCACGTACACAGAAAGAGTCTCAATTCAACTTAGCACATTCCCTCAGCTGACTCCATGCTTTGTACGCATTCAATGGGAGCGTGGTCAGTGGACTACAGACATCATGTATTTGGATTCTGATTCCTGAAGGTGATTTTCTTTGTGCCCTGCAGTTGAAGGACCTCTCTAAGGAGATCATTCGCTACCAACGGAATGACGGCGTTCAGCTAACTGCCACTCTTTACCTCCCACCAGGTGAGCACCTTGGCTATGAGACGGTTCTCGTACCCAAGACAAATTGGAGTGCTTCGTTGGCATGTTTTTTGCCTCCTCCCTCCTCGACCTTCTTCCTCCTCCTCCTCATCCTTGGGATTGTCCTGAACCTGTGATGTATTTCCTTCTTCTCTCCCTCCTCCTCCTCGGGATTGTTCTTATCCTGTGAAATTTCTCCTCCTCAGGATTGTGTAAGGAAAATGAGCGATAGTGAATTCCAGAAACCAAGCAGCATCATACACATGAAACCAGATAGTCGTGACCTCGAACCAAAAGCAGAATTGCAACTCGAGTTCCACCAAACAAGAGCACAGCAAAAGCTCACAAGTGACAATATTGGAATAGTCTCATCATCATCAACAAAGAACCAATGTCGATTTCCTATCTGGCACTCTGCGCCCGGACTACAAATGGCAGATCCTATCTAGCCTATCTACAATGCCGCTGGTGACGTCAACCGCTCCCCGAAGTACGAGCAGATCTCAGCCAATGCCTTTCGCCTCAAGCACCAGGTATGTCTCTCGCATCACTCACAACCTCGATCCCCCCCACAGATGCCACGTGCACCCAAGGACCACCATGCGCCCCATCCAGCACCTCGCAGGCCAGCTCGGCTATGGCTGCCTGCGTATCCCTTGCTCGCCCGTGCACATGTGGGCGCTTGCCTGCCAGTAGCGCAGCATGTAGCAAGTGCCCGAATGCCCAATGGGGGGGCAGGCACTTTCCTATATGGAAGTGCCTGCCGGCTGCGTGCGGCCTGACTGCGCTGGGCCCCTGCCCAGAAGCTTCCGGTAGGCCCCAAGCGGCTGAGCCCCGGTCCAGGGAATCAGGCCCAGGGCCTAGAGTGGTTACCCGTGTTCAACTGCCCGCAGCATGTGTTCGGCCCATGTTGTGTTTCTGGCCCAGGGCCTGCCTCAGATACATCTGAAAAGGCAGCCAGGGCCTGGGGCGCTTTCAAGCAACTGGCGCTGCGCAACTGCCTGAATTTTCCCAGTTGCGTGGTAGTCCAAAATATGCCTCTCGTCCTTGGTCGGGGCTGCCTTCACTTAGGGCGGCCGACATTGCTGGAAACAGGGCCCAGTAGGGCTCGTCGAGGCCTTGTGCCTCACATTCCCTCCATACTTCGAGAGTCCTCTGAGAAGTTCCATCATTCAATCTGGCACTTTCCTTTCTGCAGAGACTTCTCATACTGGGTGACAACCTGCGGAGCGGTCTGCATCAGTTCCTCCCTTGTAAACCATCGGTCCTCCTTTGGATCAGTGTGATGTCTGAACCGAACACAATACTGCACTTTCGGCTTCGGAGGACTTCGCCTTCCTGTTGGTCTTGGAACTGGCAGTTCTTTGTGATCCACGATGTCGTCGATGTTGACCTCGCCATCCACGGTTGGGGGCAGCATTGAGCGACTGAGGAAAACTGATCAGTTTCTCCAAAAGGTGCGAGCTTGGAGGCGTGAAAGACAGGGTAAGTGCGAAGGTGACCAGGGATCTGTATTACATATGACGGCCCGTCCGGATCATCCCCAACAACATCTAGAACCTCACAGGGTCCAAAGTACTGTGGCATGAGCTTGCAGGAGATACCGTGCTCCTGCCCCAGTTCAGAGGACTTACCAAACTCTATCTCCTGCCTGAAATGTCGATGGACGACGGTGTTTGTTGTCAGATTCTATCATTACCGCCTGTGCTTTGTGCATCTGTTCCACCACTTGCTGCATCAATTGCTCATATCGGTAGGCCAATTCTAATGTGCCAGGTGCAGCGGTCGGCTGGTTCTCAGGTAGTAGAAAGTCTAGGTGCAGTCTAGGCTTGAAGGTCAATAGCAGGCTGTTAGGGCTCACCCCGGTTGTGCTGTGCACAGCGTTGTTGTACAGGCTGGCGATGAGAGCAAGTTTCTCATCCCAATCCACCTGATTGGGCTTGATGTAGTGCCTCAGCAGGTATTGTACAACGCTGTTCAGCTGCTATGCTTGCCCATTTGCCTCTGGGTGGTTCCCGGAGGTCATCTGCAGCTGTGTCCCCTGTTCTGCAGCTGCGGCCTTCCACAGTTCACTGGTAAATCGCACATCCCGGTCGCTAACTATAGACTTTGGCAATCCAAAATCCCTGACCCATTTTTCTTTGAACAGCTTAACCACACACTCGGTTTTGGCTGTTGCAGGCATTGCGACTAACCTAGCATACTTACTAAACCTACCCACGATGACATAGACATATCGCATTCCGCTCTTGCTGGTAACCAGCGTGTCCATGAAATCCATGGACAGGCTCTCAGCTGGCCTTTCCGGTGTCGGAAGGGGCTTGAGAAGCCCAAGAGGGGCCTGTGTACGTGGCTCGTCTCTCTGACATACCTGACAAGTTTCCACGTACAGCTTGGCATCTCTCATCATTGTGGGCCACCAGAACTGCTGCAGCAAGTTGGCTGCAGTCGTTTTGTAACCAAAATGTCATGTGGCGTCATGACACTCTCCTAAAAATAAACTATGCAAAGACTCCCGATTAGGCACACACAAACGTTCATTCCCGGCCTTCTCAAGGAACAGCAGGCCGTTGACCAACTCAAACTCGGCAGAAGTCACTTTGTCCTTTGCCTCGAGTCTGCATATGATCTCGGCCATAAACGGATCCTCGCCATAGGCTTCCACCAAAGATCAAGTGACATCGTCCGCAAACCCGAACTCAGTGATCAGCGCACCAAGGAAGTCCGGCCTATGCGACAACGCATCAACAAATTTGTTATGCTCCCCTTTAATGTACTGGGGTTCGAAGTTGTATTGCTCAATGACTTCGATCCAGCGTTTCAGCGCATCAGAGAGTACTGACTGGGTTGTCATCCACTTCAGGGTTTGATGATCAGTCCTGATGTAGAAGAACCTCCCAAGGAGGTAGTGCCTCCAGTGGGTTAGCGCTTTATAGATCGCATAGAGTTCCTTCTCATAGGTGGACTTAGCCAACTTCTGCGAGGGCATCTTTTTCTACATTTACTCGACTAGCCTCAACTTTGGCCCCTCCTGCTGCGCAAGCACGACACCGATGCCATATTGGCTGGCATCCGTGGTTACTATGAATGGCTTGTCAGGATCAGGAAGTTTCAAGACCTCATGGTGTGTCAAGGGGTTCTTCAAATGTCTGAAAGCAGCCTCACACCTTTTTGTCCACTCCCAAGGGGTATCAAGGCGTGCCAGGTCCGTCAAAGGTGCGGCCGCTATGCTATAGTTCTTCACAAAATTCCGGTAGTAGCCGGTCATCCCTAAGAAGGACCTCATCTCAGTCACAAACTGAGGACGCGGCTAGTCAAGAATGCTGGCCACCTTCGCGTCATCGGGCTTCAATCCCTCTACGAAAATCTCATGACCCAGATACATGATCCGGGTGCGGCCAAACTCGCACTTCTCCGATTGATCTTGAACTGGTGTTGCCGAAGGAGGCTAAGGACTTTGTCTAAATGGCCAACATGCTCCTCGACAGTCCTACTAAAGATAAGTATGTCATCGCGGTACACGATGACAAACTTGTCCAAGTAGTCATGAAAGATCCGGTTCATGGCGTGTTGAAAGGTGCCAGGAGCATTGCAAAGGCCGAAAGGCATCACCACAAACTCGTACAGACCGTACCTGGTCTGAAAAGCGGTTTTGTGTTGATCATTGGACCGTATTGCAGTTTGATGGTACCCGGACTTCAAATCTATCTTACAGAAGTACCGGCACCCTTGCACTCAGTCCAACAAGTCATCGATGCGTGTTAGGGGCTCTGCGTTTTTCATAGTGATGGCATTGAGGCCCCTATAGTCAATGCACATCCTCAAGGTCCCCCCCTTCTTTGGCACGAATAAGACAGGAGATCCATAAGGGGAGACACTTGGTCGGATCCAACCCTTCTCTAAGAGTTCCTTGAGTTGCCAGCGAAGCTCATCGAGCTCAGCTGGAGATGTTTGATAGATCCTACCCTTCGAAATACTAGACCTTGGGATAATCTCTATCACGTGGATGACCTCCCTCTCAACCCCTTTCGACTCTTCAAATAGATCAGGGTACTTAGCGACCACTCCCTCTATCTCCGGAGGCATTTTCACCGGCTCGCCCTCCTTCGGATTTTGCTTATAATAATTATAAAACGAGACCGCACACATGCATCCGCAGGACTCCATCAGACTACTAGCTTTGTACTTTCGTAATCTGGCGGTCCCCCCTCCGGGCAAAGTGTGTTTGACCACTTTTCAGTCCCAGTCAAACTGGGGCTATGCAACCGAAAGATAGTACATAACAAGATATCCATGGGGAGATCATTGCTGACTAGGAACGAAACTCGATGTCTCAGTTCCCCTCCCGCGTACGGGAAACGACACTCAATGTCTTTGAGGTAGTCGGTGACTACCATGCGCTGTTTGTTGGCACAAGTCGAATCCACAGGTCGGCTCAGGTGCTGCACTTGCCCCAGTAAGTGCAGCCTCTCAACACACGCGCGACTGTTAAAGTTCCTCGTTGAGCAAGTGTCATAAAAGTCCCCGGCCTTGCGGTCGCCTATATCTACCTCCCCGATGAATAACTCACCCTTAGGAGCTTTAGCCGTGGTCGTCCAAGAAGTTAGCGGGTCTGATCTAGACCACTCCTCCTCCAGCTCCACCAAGGACTCAAACACATTCATCAAACAGAGGATCGATTGGTCTGAATGTGTTTGCGGGACGACAACGGAGTCAATAGCTTGGGCCATCTCTCGAGATGGTGAGGGTGTGTCCACCACCTTGACCCTAGCAGGAACAACTACTATTCCTACTGGTCCGACGTGTTTCCCAGAGCAGTGCCAAAACTGTTGGCAACATTGCTACCTGTGGAAGCGGAGGAGACCGACGCCTGCCCCATCGTAGGCGGGATCTTTTCCGTCACCTTCTTATTTCGGCACTTGAATTGGTTATGGCCATATTGGCCACAACGAATAGAAGCCTGTCGGGTGTAACGGTCTCTCCACACGTCCTCAGTAAGACCT